CAAGGCAGGAAACAAAAGAAGAAGGATGAAGCAGAACCGAAGACGAAGGAAAGGAAGCAGGAGCGAGCGGAGAGTTGTTTTTCAGGGTAGTTGTAGGTAGGAAGGCGAGAAGAGGGAGGAGGAAATAGAGAGAGAGAGGATAGACGCACAGCTATTTCAGGTAAGGTGTAAACCGCAGAGCCGACCGGAGAGGGAAATAAAACGGCTTGCGAAGAAAACGGCGTTCTGGCAGATTAGGACGCGACTGGCGGTGGGGCACACCTGGGAGACGGCTTGGATCCACGGCAAGCAGGGACGAAAGCGTAAGGGAAGAAGACGAAGCCGCGACGCAATCAGATCCACCGAGATCGCATAGAAAGGCCGGCTGGCATATACGAATGCCAGGGAAATCATTTAATTGATACACTAGTAAAAAAAAAAAAACAAAAAAAAAAAAAAAAAAAAAAAAAAACAAAACTGCAATAAAAGCTCTATAACGTATGCGTTAACCGCAGCTCACCGTGTTGCTGTTCTGTTCACCTTTATCGGCTACGTAGGCATCACGCGTCTTGCTCTAATACATCGACAAGAAAGCGGACACTGATCCCATACTGGACACACTTACTACCTTAAACGTCCCTGTCTGAACCGTAGTCGTCTACCCTAGGGCACTACAATATGACAGCACAACCCAACGTAGAACCCCTGGAACATAATAGTAATATGCCGTGTAAATAAGAAAAAGTTATTCTAACAGCATGTAGCGAATGGGTTGGCACTTCTGCTCATTTGCAAGCCTCTGCATAAAAAATGCAGTCGTAACCATAGGCCACTTGGAGAGCGTTCAGAGTGTAAAACACACGCCCCCCCACCGGCCATTGCGCGGCACACTTGACACATAAATATATCCTGAGGCGTGTTCAGGAGACCGAAACGCTGCGCTCGCGTTCGGCTCGCGCTCGGCACTTCTGACGACACTGCCGCGACCGAAACGCGAGCGAGCAGTTTGCGCGGTCAGGTTTGAAAAGCGCTGTTCGCTCAGTTGCGCGAGAGTTTACAAGATGGCGGCGAAAAATCTGTAGCGAATGCGGCAATCTAACATTCTGAACGTCCAATTTGCATCTTATTTCAACAGTTATTTCCTTTTCATTCATTAATTTACTTCGTAAATTCAATTTGTATGCAATTTGCGTCTGCTAAAAAATTCGTTTGAAACAGTACTTTGTTCTTCGCGATTAAAATCTGCTGAAGTACGCCTCCTGGGGGCCGCCATCTTTGATCAAGCGCACGCACAAGCCGAGAGCTCGTGTGTCGTTCAGGAGGCGCTGCGCTTCGTTTCATCGATGCGTTTGCCATCGAGCGCGTCGCCTCTGCTGAACACGCCTCTGGTTGTGCTCTGTTTAGTACCGGTTTCGGTTTTCACATATACGCGAGGCAGCCGATAGATGAGGGAATGCGATTTTTCTCTCTGCTGGCAAGCACTGTAGCACGTCAGCTGCTGAAACTTATCGTGTGAGATTGACGAATTGCGGGGTTTTTCACGGATTTTTCGGTGAGTTTGACGGTTTGGCAGGTTTTTTCAGCTACGAAATCCCTCGGTATAAGAGCATGGCCCTTGTGAAAATTGCAAAATTCCAGAGATGCGTTTGGGCGGTTTGGCCGCCTTATAGGGCAAGATACATAGATACAAATAGATACATAGTACAAGATACTATACATACAACTCAAATATAATATTAGATGGGCTCGAAAATTATGCACTTGGCGGCGTGTATATATTACGAAAGCAGACAATGCCTGCACGAACGCATACAGTATTAGCTGGTAAGCGAGCCACTGCATGGAGCCACTGCGCGGTACTACTGCCGCGGGCAAAGAAGAGGAGAAGAAAGACAGATTGCAGACTGTGCGCGAGGGGCAGAGAGCAGCGCAAACCAGGGAGTCTTATATATAGGCCTACTAGGCCTGCTGGATTACCACGTCTGCGCGCTAGGTAAAATCGTGCTACTAATTCATCTACTAATAATGGGACACAATCAGAAGCATGGGTAAAATCGCCGACAATAACATTGGCAGCAGGAAATATGAATATTTAGAAATCAGTCTAATAAAGATAATAAGGCATGGGAAAACTGTTACGTATGACATTTAAGAGACAGGCCACAACCCAACTTAGAATCCACTGGAACATAATAGTAATATGGGGTAAATGACAAAAAGTTATTATAACAGGCATGTCGAATGGTTGGAGCTTTCATTTGAAAACCTCTTGATAAGCAATGGTTTTCGTGTTAATTCTCTGTGAAATATGTAAAGATTCCCGGCGGGGGGGGGGGGGGGGGGGGGGGGGGGGGGGCGTCTCGAACTGTTGAGCTCCCCACGTACGGCATGCACGCTTATGGCACGTACAGCATGTACGAATGGGTTTGCGCTTGTCTCATTTCAAAGCTGTTGATAAACAATGCAGTCGCTACTCTTTGAAAGCTGGCTGTGCTCTGGCTTTAGCTCGGTGCTGGCGTTTGGTTTCACAATCTCTTGCGTTTAGCGGCAGTGGTGGATATAGATGATCGATTTTTTCTCTGTGTGGCCAGCGCACTGTAGCAGTCAGTCGCTGACAATGTTGAAGATTCCAGAATTAAGGGCGTTTTTTCACGGATTTCTTCGCGTGAGTTTGACGATTGGCAGGTTTCTTTTCAGCTACGAACACCCCCCGGGTTAAGAGATGGCCCTGTGAAAATTGTATCCAGATCGCGCTTGTGGCGGTTCTTGGACACGCCTATACGGGAAGCATACATAGCATACATACATACATACGAGAACTCAAATATATACTTAGATGCTCACCACTGAGTGCCCGCGCGCGCGATACAAGCTGAAGCGGCCACCACTGTTTCAGTTTCAGTTTCAGTTTCAGTATCCAGTATTAGCAATTATGCAGCAGGGGTATTGTGTATTCCAGCTACGTCAGTGCCTTCCGAGAGGGTATTCAGTACAGCGGGTGACATTGTTACGGCACAGAGGGCTGCCACTGTCAGCGGAAAACATTGCCGTGCTTCTGTTTTCTCAAGAAAAACATGAGAAATTAAATCATGTCATATAATACAATATATGAATGATATTAAAACCATCAAATTTTACTATATCATGCCATGGTATACACTTCCCAATACGTATTGGAAAATATTGCAATACGGTTTTGTCGTATTGCAATATATTGCAATACGGTTTTTGGTTGCAATACTCACCCCTACTAATTTAGTCATTATAATTGCAAATTAATTCCTTTTCATGTACCGAATTTGCAGATACTTTTGGCGTTGTCCGCCATTTTGAATACAGTGTAATCATTGTTTAAAGGGATTACGTCACGAATTTTCTATGGTAAAATTTGTTTAAAAAAAATTCCCATTTTTTTACATTAAAGTAAGAACTAACGCGACTAAACAAATCGCCAAATTCTTACCTGATAAGATTGTTTCTCAACTAGTTAAAAAATCCAAAAAACCTTAACGATTTGAATTAATGTTGTTCTAACATTAATTGCTTGCTATGCGGCTATGTTATGGGTGCACGAGTGTATGTTCACATCGACGCAATATAGTAAAAATAGGAAGTATAATGCAGCAAATTTAACCATTAAATGTAAACAGAATTACTTATATTTTGTGAAAAAGTGGAAATATTTTATTTTATATTTTACTATTTACGCGTGACGTAATCACTTTTAAGTCGATAATTATGTGATTAGTTAAAAATATGTACTTAAAATCGCTTTCCTGTGAAACAGATTTTTAAGTATGATTAACTAATCATAATTACAGGAGGTTAAGTATGATTGGTGATTTAATCATAATTAAAGTTAATCACGCTTCGTGAAACCGGCCCCAGGTATTTACTTACGATAAATAATGTCATGCCCTTGTGTTTTATATGCTTGTACCCTTTAAATTCCCTGTATTCAATAAGCTCTTCACACTATCAGCATTGGTTAGTATATATACTGTATGCAATTCCACTGAGGTATATAAGCCTACTAGATACTACTATACTGTACAGTAGCTAAAAAAAAACTTATCTATAACAATCTATAATATTGACTCTTAGCTTATAAGGTGCAATCAGCCTTCTTACACTAATGATAGTTGTTACCAACTTGGCAGGTTCTTGAATGATAGAAAGTCCTGCAAGCATTTCCTGGCGAAACAAATGCGAGTTTATAGACTCTACCTACTGACTTAGACTCCACCTACCTAAAGATGGCTTCACTGCTAGATCAGTATGAGCAAGCCACAGCAAGAGCAAGTTCTGCAGTGGCATCATCAAGGAGTGCAGCCACAGAGGCAACGTCTAGGGGATTTGTCAATGTCAAAACGCAGGATGATATTCCGATTTTTACTAAACAGAGAATCAATTTCAAGGTACGCCTAATTACTTTAAGGCTAATGTTATGACTTCTTTGAACAGCGTCGTCAGTCACTTACCGTTCTTCTTGCTCAGGGTAGCTAATTGTCCTGCTGTGCTAGCAGCCACGAGCCTCATCACACTGCCACTTGGGTCGAAGTTATACACACCAGGAGGGGGTAGTAGATTGTTCATTGTAATAATAGGTAAGGTGTCGGTAAAGAAAATTGATCAAATATAGAAATTACTTACAAACTAGTTGTATGCACATTTTTCAGTTGTACCGTATCTTTGTTGTAGCCACGTGACTCTATATCACACCTGGTTGTGAGCAACACTATGCTAGTGTTGGCCATGAAAAGAAACATGCTGCTGAGGATAGATCTAAAGCAACCAGATTCCCCAGAGGAAATTGATATCGGACGGCCTGATGATGACAAAATACACAAGCTATTCTTGGATCCTACAGGTTGGTCACTATGTGATTGTGTGTACGTACATCTTTTAATTTAAATTTTTTTATTATTAATAGGGACTACTAATTTCTTGTAATACTAAACACCAACGAAACCTACTTAACAAAAACATAACAAATATAGGTGTGTGCGAATATAGCTTAAGTAATTAAATACAGCCAATACATTCATACGAAAAATATATAACCTTCTCATTGTAAAGGACGGTCTTCAATTACAGGCTATTAAAACCATGTGCTACTGACGAGACTACTTCAACTGAGCCGGGTTCAACACCAGTGGTTGCTCTTGTGGCTGGTGTGTCTGTGCCTGTGGCAATGGTTGGGAGCCGATCGTGACCTGCATTTCCATTTCGTTTTGACTCTCTGCCGCCCACCGTCCTGCTGCTTCCTTCTCTCGCTCGGCTCTCTCCTTATCCTCCTTTGCCTGCATACGAGAAACATTAAATGTGCCTGCATTCAAGCGTGAGAAACAGGTCCTACATTTCAAATTTTGCTCCATCGCGTAAAAATGAAGGAAAGATCAACGTCAACCTTGATCCCATCCGGGTGGGATAACAAGATACAATAATTATATTAGGTATATAAGATATAAACATATTTTGCATTTCACAAAAGGGGATAGCATGTGGAAAATGATGTTTTGGGTTAAACATAAGTTTTAATAAGAAATCAAACCAATAAAGTTGTATACAAGAACATGTCAAATTTTCTGTGCTACACTTTACCAACACAGTACTTCGAGACAGGGTACCATGATTTTATACTTTGTTACTTACCTGAGCAACAGAATCATTATACTCATCTATAGCATACTGGTACTTTGGTGACGTTATCCCGAAGAAATATGCCAAATTCTCTCCAAGGTAGTCACAAACTAGATAGAAAAAAATAACAAAGCCCTACATATCCGTAAAATAACACTAATAATACAAAAATTGGTATTTTACAGTGATTGTACATTTGTTGAAAGAACACACACTAGAAGATACATATAATACACAACTGACCTTTAAGAGTGTTTGAGGGTGTATTACTTATGTAATACCAGAAGTAAGGTAGCCACGTTAACCGACTCTGAAAATCAGAAAATTAAGAGGAAATATCAATATTAGGCCAGCTAAAGAAACTTGTTCTGAACATAGCCTAATTCAGGCATGACCAGCTGGTGTGCTGAGGGTCAGATATAGCCTGTGACTTGGCTTTATTCAGTCCATGACGAATTCTCCAAACATAATTAAACCCAACCCTCAAGCTACCCATAAATTTATAGGCTGCTGATGAGACCCATTCATGAATTATTCCAATTAATAGTATCTTAACTTACAAATAGTTAATTATAGTAGGGGTCTCGCCATTGGCACTTATAACTTGGTATGCTGCACCACCTACTGGATAGATAAGTTCTGGGACATTTTTTGTATGCAGGAAAACAACACAAGGGACATGTCTAGCAGCACTTCCTATGTAGGAGTGTGCATCAGTCAGTGGAAATTGAATGAAATTAGCTAGGGCAAGAATTAGTGAGCGCAGCAATTTGGTAATGCTAGAAAATAAGTTCAGGTGTTTTCAAAAATTTCACTCTGCTCCTTATCTTACAGTGTCAACAGTTTGTTTGGGTAGATCTGGCGCATCGTTTTCATCTTCCTCATCACTGTATTCCTCTAGTATTCCATCACTGAAGTGAAGGACCCTCTTTGGTTGCTTCTTTTGCCCTAGTTCAAGGGCTATGTCCGAAAATTCTTCTGTTTGCATGACCTGTACCCACACAACAAATTAAATGCACGAAGTAACAGGAGGGTAACTTGTGAAAAGATAAGAGGAAAAGATATTACATGATTGCTTTCAATAGTTCATATTGAAACGTTATTAGAAAAAGTTATGTTGAAAGACGGTTAATTGTATACATGAAAAGTCCAATGAACCTGTAAGATGTGTATTGCTAGCTTCAGAGGCACTTGGAATGTTTCAATAATAAAATGATTGTAAATAAACACAACACGTATTTACTATCAGTCTTGATGTTTCTATGCTCTCTTTCGCCTATTATTATGAATAATTTCCTGTAAATACCGTTCAAATGCTCCGAGCTGCAACACACAAGTACACCGCACACACGTCGCTGTGCACAAACAACAAAATTATAGAGCAGGTGGGAAAGCATGACCGAAAAAATTCGCACGACGCTCGCTTCATTTCACACAATCACGGCACAAATAGACACCTAACAGCCTCCATTCTGGCACCTATGCTTAGCTAAATGTTGACTTGTTCGAATTATAATTTGCCAACTGGTACTGCCTACTTTACTCAGAGATATCTGAATTCCTGTAAAGAATTCTTACTTCGCCAAATGTAAATGTGAGCAAGTGCTTGTTTATCACCCGAAACTCACTAACCGCACTACTTGATTGTTTTGGCCAATAAACGTAGTCGTGTGTGTGACGTCACTCCCGCACGCATTATGCTGCTTTGCTAGCTTTGCTTGGCGGGCCTCATAATGGAGCTTGGAAGCAGGTACGTTTGAACTCAGAATGCAATGTGGTGCCATTACTCATGTACTTGCTTCCATTTACATTTTGGCGGAGTGGGAGTTTTCCGCAGTAATTCACAAGACATCTCTGGGTAATGTAAACAGAACCCGTGTTGGCAATATTACAATTTTTCGGTCACGCTTTCCCACCTACTCAATAATTTTTTTGTTTGTCCACAGCAGCGTGCATGCAGTGTACGTGTGTTGAAAAGAAGCATTTGAACGGTGTTTACAGGAAATTATCGGTAATAATAGGCGAAAGAGCGTGGAGAAACATCAAGACTTTTGTACTTGAAGTATATACATTTTGTGTTTATTTACCATCATTTTATTATTGAAACGTTCCACGTGCCTGTGGCTAGTCTCGCAGTCGCTGAGTTGTCGGACTAAACTGGGCCAAGCTCAGCCACGATTTACAGCTGTTTCACGTCGCATGAATCGTAGACACGTAGTGAGAACTAGGACGGTTTGAAATTGTGGCTAAACCGGGTCATAGCAATGCAATGACTGACACATTGACGTCACAATACTACTACTGTACTATAGTAGTACTACTAGTACTACTACTACCAGGAGTAAGATAATATAGGATAGTAATTAGCTCCAAGAAACGGTATTGCTAGGGTTAGAATACCATTGGTGTATTGACGTTAGTCACACAGCCTGGTCGGGTTAGATAGTAATATCCTAATACTAATACTAATAGTAATATTATCTTACTCCTGTCCTGGTACTACCAGTACTAATTACATTGAAAAAATAGAGTACACTACATGAAATCACTTCCAAATAATATAAATTGCCCTTACTTTATGTTGCACAGGTAATTTGAGCTATACAATAACTGAGTGTGAATTTGGGATAATCTAGTCACTGATGTGTGTATACAAAATTCAGTACATTCGACATCAACAATCAAAACAGAGCCAAACACTGTATTGGTGGCGCCATCTCTCGTAAAAATAAATACATACAACTAATACACTACTGTAAATATATCATATAAACCACATTCACAGTGTTTTACTAACTCATAGGGTGTCTACATGAAAATTACTTTATTAGCGTTTTATCCTTGTGATATTGTCGCGTGTAAGCCTATATGATATCCTAAACTACATGATAGTGCAGTGCTGTTTAAAATGGGTTGACCCCAGTGCCGCTAGAGGGCACTGGCCACGATCGTTCATAAAATGATAAAAGTGTTGTAGTAAGACTTAAGTAGTTGAGTAAGATTGATATATAATTTACTAGACGACTACTACTAGACATATATAATTATCTTTATCATCTACGTCTATGGATACATGGATGTCGTACAGACAGTCGCGGGTGTGATATAAGCGCAGTTCATACGGTTAGATTGGAAAACATGATAAGATGTTTGGAGGAGAGAAGTTCGGGGCTGCTATTACCTACCGGTGTTCAACAGGCAGTGTCAACGGACAGAGCCCTGGCAATGCAGCTCAGCAAACAGCGAGATGTCGAAAAAGTACATACGACTCCTATCAACTCATTGGATCTAGATCCCGTCGAGATGCGTTATTTAATATCAGGCGCGTCAAATGGCACCATCGCCATCCACGATCTGCATAACGTCACTGGTCAACCCCAGTACACATGTCCACTGCTGTGCACAGTTGACCGATGTTCACAGCACGCTCACAAATACAGTGTAGAAACCGTTCAGTGGTATCCTGCGGACAGTGGCATGTTCGTTTCAAGTAGCTTCGATAAAACGTTGAAAGTGTGGGACACAAACACTCTAGTGCCTGTTGAAACGGTGGCATGCCGCGAACGTGTATACTGCCATCGTTTGTCCAAAATAGCGACTAAACATTGTTTGATTGCGGTTGCGTCGTCATTATCGCAAGTCAACCTTGTTGATTTAAAATCTGGCTCGTATAGTCACATCCTAAAGGGACACAAAGGTGCAGTATATGTAGTTGATTGGTCTCCTCAAAACGAATACGTTCTAGCCAGTGGAAGTAGTGATAACAAAGCCCTCATGTGGGACGTCAGAATGGCAAAAAACTGTATATTTACGCTGGACCAGCACAATGGCGATGCGACACGGTGTGGTCCGCATGCCGTGCAGACTGCTCACAATGGCGCAGTGAACGGCCTCCGATTCACAGCCGACGGCTTGTACCTCGTATCGTTTGGAACGGATTGTCGCGTTCGTTTGTGGCGCACGGACAACGGACAAAACATGCTCGTTAACTACGGGGCGATTAACAATGTGCACGAAAAATGTCTGAGCATTGATGTCTCCTCGTCACTCAATCCTGAGATTGTGTTCGTGCCTCACGATAGCAATATTGATATGCTCTGCCTACATACAGGTACGAAGCTGCAGCGGCTGGTTGGTCATTATAATGATTGCAATACGTTAGTTTATCATCCATTCCACCAGGAACTGTACAGTGGTGGAAATGACAGAAATATAATAGCATGGTTGCCTAAAACAGCGAGTTCTGATGACTATCAAGAACATTTGAAGGAAACGAAATTGAAAAAAGGAACATCCCGTGAAACAAAGAAGAAGGGAGCTAATGTTAATCTCATGCAGGACACCTGGAGCAGTGATGAAGATTAGGGAAAAAAATTGCAGGATTGATTTACTGGTTTTGTTTAAATAAGCTGCGTTCACACGAGACTTCGTATTTATGAAATACGGTATTTGCGAGATACCGAATCTGAGACAAATTCACGACCGAGTGTTCACACACTGTTTCACAGCTCCAGAAATGCCGTATTTGCGAGCTGCGAGCTGCTTTAGTACAATGGGAAAAAAAACAATGCGTCCAAGAGAACAATCAAGCGCAATCTCGCTCGACAGTTACACTCGCGTTACGCGAGTGTAACTGTCGAGCGCTGACAAGTCTATAAAATACGCGGCTTCAGAAATTCAGTATTTAGCGTTCACACAAGAGAAATACGCGGTCCAAGAGATTCGGAATTTCTCAAGCACGAGAAGTATTTCGGCATCTGGGAAGCCACGTATTTCAACAAATACCGAATCTATTTAGATTCCGTATTTGTTGGACCGCGCATTTTAGCCTCGTATGAACGCTAAATACCGAATTTGTTGCTACGTGGGAACGCGGCTATAATCAATGATGACATATGAGTTTTGGTTTATAATATCATCAAGAGCCCATTAACCCCAGAGCGTACAACGCTGAAATAGGAAAACCATGGTGTCGTTTCAGCAAAATTAATAAAGTTTAACTACCTTATTTTGTTACTTCTCTACCGGAATATTATGCAGGAGTCATAGCTAGCCAATATAAGATCAACCGCTTGTCGCTACGATGTTTCTATGCCGAGATATAAAGCGATAAAAATCGAGTACTTCTAGATAATCCTAGCGTCATATCACAGGATTAAAAGGAAGGATTACCTAGAAGTATTCGATTTTTATCGCTTTATATCTTGGCATAGGAACATCGTAGAGACAAGCGGTTGATCTTATATTGGCTAGCTATGACCCCTGCATAATATTCCGGTAGAAAAGTATCAAAATAAGGTAGGTAAACTTTATTAATTGTGCTGAAACGACACCATGGTTTTCCTATTTCAGCGTTGTACGCTCTGTGGTTAATGGGCTCTTGATATCATGGAATTATTTATACAAATTTGACTTGTTAGGAAATATAATTTTACAAAGGCATGAACATTTTCATATTTGTACAATCATGTATTCTATTGGTAAAATAAATCCTTTTGTATTTTATAATGTAATTGAAATCAATTTTTTTTATTCAAAAATATTGTTTTATAATCGTTTATATATCAACAAGTAATGTGAGTTGACTATCTATAATATTGCCAACGACTCCATGTATTTTGGCATTGTCGGAGTGTATAACTAGTAAGAAACGGTAGTAATGATCAGAAAATATGGTAAACGAAAAAAAAAGTATAAACGAAAAAACGATGGCCATAGAAATAAATAAAGTACAGTTAAATACAGTATAAAATACGCTGTTATCTAGAGATATTCGTTTCTAAAGCTGATAAGACCTTGAGTAACATAAATACTCTCTTCTAGAAAGAAAGAAATACTCAGAAAAATGCACAATATACAGTAGAAACCCGCGTATAAGAACATAGATTTTTCCAAGTTAGCCTCAACATGTTCTTATAT